TTATATCACTATTCGTATTCATCACTCTAGTACTCAATTTCCCTCCCAGACATCTACTCGCGAATTATCACTATTTATGACCAAGTGATCAAGTTGGTGTTCGAAATCTAAGTTATACAAAAGCGCCGCAGAATACATGGGTTTTACCAACTCGTTACCCGATCCAAAATACATGGGAGTGAATTTTTGACCAATCAAATAATTCTGTAGTAAATATCGGCTATTTACAAGTATTATCATCTTTGCAAGTAAAGTGATCATTTTCATAAGCGGTTACATCTTAATCTAACATAATTTTGCATTGAGTGCAAAATAGTAATTCTATCCCATATCCCGCTCTCTTTTTGATTAACAATTCTTGTTCTGAAAGGCCACTCAAACTCTTCTCTTTTTTTAAGGTTTCTCTAAAGATTTTCCTTTTATTTCTTTCTCAATCAGCAGTTTTTTCATCTAATTCTTGTTGAATTAAGTTTTGTGGATAATCTCAACAACAAAATTCGATATATTCTGTATCTTCTTCATCTAGATATTCCTGGATTATTGATTTTAAAAACGTATGGAGCAATTTTCTCCTTGTTCTTTCTTTAAAATGCTAGTACTGTAATTCTTTGGTATTTAATGTAAATTAGGTTCATATTTATATTTTTATATTAATCATGTATAATTTTTAGATAGTAATGGAAGTTTGCTACATAAATTTGTGTACAAGTTATTGCTGTGATAATCAAATGTTATTAACCAAATTATAATTAGTTAACTTACAGCCACACCAGCTTCTCATTTATATCACATAATCAATGTTCACTTTGTCTGGTTTTGTTGCAGCATGCCCATATTAATATATAAAAAATATAAATATAATAATAAAATTGCTATCAAGGGTCATAATGTTATGAAATAGCTGACCTCTCACCCTAATACTAACAATTGACGTCATATATTACTATATTTAGTATCGCTGATTTATGATTCATCATGGCTTAACCATAACGCGAGTTATAAACATAAATGATAACAAATAATGCAAACTGTAACAGAGATAACGTATATCATTTTTAAGGCGCAACCAAACATCCTCATGAATAAGAGCCCCCCTTATATGATGATCCTTATTCACGATACGGTACATCAAATCCACCATGGAACCAAAGAATTACAGCATCATTAGTGCATTACTAAGTATAAGAGTCGCGTTCACTCAAACTTTTAAGAGATAAGTTCAAGAAACGTGAAATATTAATATTTAATTCTCGGTCGATGAAATTGAATTTATTTCCGAATTTTATTTATTAACCGGAGAGAATTAATTTAAGAAATTTTATCTAACTGATTTCAATTAGTATTGTTACATCGTTTGTTAAGCACATCGAGCTGTAGAGCAGTCAGTCTTACAACTGCAACTAATACTTATTAAATTGGTCAAGCTTTGGTTTGAGACTGCTTTGTGTAGAGTTACTGATTTCTTAGGCATGGTAGTAAGCTCTGCATAATGAATACCGGATTCAATTTATTCAAGGTTTGCTGCTGAATAGAGTATCGTTTAATATGTAAGAACTATGGAATTCATTATAGTCTTGATAATTTATGTCGTAAAATACGTAGCGTTTCTATATTATATCATTCCAAACTGACAACAACACTATCCTCTAGTCTTGATATCACTGGTGCTGTGATCTATATGACACATATCATGTAACGGTTGATGTAATTGTCATTTTTGTTGACCGCAATAAAGATTGCGAATATGCTGACGACATTTATTACAAGTCATTAGTGAACTTATATGGTGCAGGACATCTATAGCCCGAAATAAAATACCCAACTTTCAAAACCATAAGGCTTTTATATTAGAGGGTTTAGAGAAAAACTAATCCGTAAGAATGATAGAGCAGACGAAGCAGAATAAAAATTACGGTTTAAAATTTTTAATCAACTAAAAAAGTTTCGAGTTTTAGGCATTTGAAAAGCAACAGTTTTCTTTTTCTGAAGTTTCTTAAAAATTCGGTCGCAACTTTTTGTGTAACATTACATCATCCAATAAAGCGATAAGTTTAGCATTTATTCTTCTGTTCGATTCTTCTACTAAAAGAAAAACCGCACATAAACAAGTGTCTCGAGATAAGAGAGGCAAATTTATTAAAGAAGGTGAACTCAACCTGATTGATACAGAATCAAATGGAGACGGGATTGAGCGATGGTTCATCAAGTGAAAAACTTTGGGAAAACGATGGGGTAAGTGATTGGGGAAGTGATGTTGATTCGGCGACAGAACAAGATATCCGGGACAGGCTTTCAAAGGATAATCTTTGGTTGAAGTAGAGAGCGGATGCAAGTTTAGAAAAAGCAGACGTTTAATAAAACTTCACGAAGAGATTCTACATCATTAATTAAATATTTCAATGATTCATCTCTAAACAACCAATCATCTCTCAATAATAATTTATAATCAGTGGTCCTTACAACATAGGGAAAACACTAAAATCGACGTATTATGATAAATGGGGGGCCGAGTGGTTCATGGACAGCGGCTGCAAATGGAAGCCCAAAATTAGAGAGGTTTTTTAACCAAGCAGCTGCAGAAAATATCACGTAATCAACGAATTGAATCAGTACAAGATGTTTCATCAGATGAGGAGTTTGCTTTGCCATCGGAGAATGACGTTTTAAGTTTAGGAGGAAAATTTCAAAGAATGTCAGCACAAGAGTATGTTAAGAAGAGAGTTATATTTGAGTACTTAGTGCGTTTACTAAAAGGTGAGAGAAAAATGAAGGCAAGTATGGAAGCAGTAAAGATGGTGATCATAAGTGGACAGCTACCCGGGTTCGAGAGATGGCAAAGTATTGGCACAACAATTATACATTGCCTATATCTTGTCGAGGAAAACATCAAAAACTTAGTAGAATAATTGACGATGAAGATATAGCAGAAAAAATGTCATACATGGATTCACATGAACGGCAGCCATACAACACCGCATCATTTCAAAGAATTTGCTCAAGAATAATTATTACCAGAAATAGGTGCCAACAAGACAATTGGCACAAGGACAGCACGTCGATGGTTAAATATTCTTGGATATCATTATCAACAACAAAAACAAGGAATATATTATGATGGACACGAGAGAGAAGACGTTGTTGAATATCGGCAAATATTTTTATCAGAGATGGCCAAGTTCGAAAAATATATGGCGACTTATGAAGGATCATATTAATATTGTTGAGGTTGTGAAAAGATCAGATTAAACAAAGCTTAGTGTTATGACAATGGAAAAGGCTTTCAATACTTAGATCTTAACCCTTTCCCATCCTATTACTAACTCCTCCTCCTTTGAATTATAAAAGACAAGAATATTTTTATCATAATATTTGCCCAAGACCAATCTATACCAGCAATGAATAAATATTTAAACCAAAGTTTCCCCATTATTTCAATACTCATTAATTTCCTTGCCGTCATTAAATCCTGTTTAATTTTTCAACAAATATTGCTAGCTTTTTTTGTTTTAATCTTTAAACTTAAATAAAAAGAAATATTAAAATAATTATATACTTAATATTTTCTCATAAAAAGGATACAAGTATATAAAAGAAGTAATAAAAACTATTAGAAGAAAACAAAAATTAAAGAAACAGTTAGCAAATAAAGAAACTAAGAATTTGAAATACAGTTCACAATGTTAAAGTGCCGGTATTTTATATTGAATGACTTTAAAACAATGTTGTTACTATTACGAGCAACAAAGCATAATATGCCAATCATAATCAAGGATAATGCCAAAAAACACATCCCCCAATTTAAATTAATTGAGTAAATTCGAACTGGGACTACAACTGGCGTAACTACAACTGGCGTGACTACAACTGGCGTAACTAGCGTAACTGTAACTTCAAAGACTGTATCGTCAAAGCCATGTTGGAGAGCAACGTCATAATCTTCCGTAGGCAATCTATCAACATTATATTCATTAGAACCTAAACCAATTGATGGAGCCTTCCAGTCTATGGCAAAAGTGGTAGAGACGTTATCGTTTATGATAAGCGTGACATAACCACTTATTCCACCCAAAAAATGGCTTGTGACGCTCGAAAAGACTTCGGATTCACCATTTGCGAGGTCGGTCCGTGGGCTGCAGTCTATATCGATGTCACCAGAATCATCTGACGTAACCCAACGACCGTCTTCAAGACGGGAAACTACCAATCTTATGTTATAGCCGCTCTTGTTATTGAGCACAATTGATGCGCAGCGTGAATGGTGTTCAGAGGCAATTCTGTGTGCTAGGAGAGGACAGCAAGTTAAACTTGTTCCATTTTGACAAAAGGGTGGAGCAGCTTGAGAAAGCTCTGACAAGAATGCGATTGCAAGGACAACGGCGACGGTGATTTTAAACAGTCTATAAAACATGACTGGGACAAGTAGAAGAAATCTGTGGCATTCGTTTTTATGACACATAGAATCATGTGATTAACATAATGAACTTGATCCAAAAATGGACAACAGTGGCTATTTAAGAAAAAGTTTTCATCAAACACCCGTCTTCGTATTTTGTTATCTCTCAACCTTCAAAGATATAGCCAATGTAATAAACTATCAGCAAGTTTAGCTAAACTACTGTATATATTGGTTACTCGCTCGGCTTGCTTCTGTTAATATTTACCGAGAATGTGATAATGAGAGGTCACCTGACATTTTGGATCATCCAGTTGCCTAAATACTCTATCTATTCGTTCGTTGAAATGGTAAACGAATTGCAAACAATTCTGGAGTTCTTAGAGCAAACGGCCTCTATAACGAGGTATTAAGGAAATCAGGTCTATCCGGAGGCTGTATCAATATTCACTTAAGATATCAACCGACTGTTTGTCAAGGTCTCTTTTAATTTGGTACATTCCAAAACGGTGATCCGTCACAACCTCGCTCTCAACGTAATTTTTTTGACATGTAGACAAATGTGTCGAGTTAATGCTATAACCATGTTTGAAGGCGAAGCAACTGCACTGAATACCATTGACTCGCAGTCCCGACTTTGCTCTCCAAATCGACTGGAGGCGGTTTTATCGTGCTATCGTTTATCCGATTTACGAGTTCGAATTCAAAACACCAAATAGCGCTTGCCAAAAAGCTAGCCAAACTTCATTCGACAACATCTCCAAATGGGAAATTTGGATTTCCGTAACGACAATGTGCGGTTCTACTGAACAGGATAATACATGGGAGGATGAATGGGTTACATTTTACAAGGAGAGGCGACTGAGACCAGTGCTAAAGAGATGTCAGCGAAATAATCCTAGCGATTCCGAGTTGGTACGATTGGGCAACATTGTAGTGGATAGAGTT